AATGATTATATTTCAGAGTCCCTAGGTCTGTTTCGTAACCATGTTAGAATAATGAACATTAGAGTATAGAATTCTTAAAAAACATTTTTATTTGTTAAGAAAACAAAATTTTAGACTTTATTTTGTTTCAATAATAATTCGGTAGCCGCATTTGGTATTTTAAATAGCTTTAATTTAGGGGTCGTCAATAAAACTAAAATCTCTATTCGTGCAATTATTATAAAATGAGTCACTTACTCATCGATGTGAGATCTAATGACAAAGACCCAAGTCCAGTTATATTTGACAAGACCCTAATCTAATTCGAAGATCCTTTTTCGTTTAAGTACTCTTGGGAGGAATAGTCACATAACTTTCCGTAACAGGTGTTCGTGTTTTATTATACATGTGATGAAATTAAATAAATTTTAACTTTTGTTTTATACCTGCCCTATAATTATTTTACAGTAATCAGATTCAAGGAAATACGAGGTACAAGCGTAATCCAATATTAGCTAGTTGAATATTAAAATATAGTCAATATTATACTGTTTTATTCTTGTGAAAATTTCAAATGAATATTTTCCTTAACTTTGAAGAATTACAGATGAGATAGTACACAAACATTTTTGGTTTTTTACCAAAAGAAACTAATAAATTTTAAGATTGAGGTCAAGCCACAAAGCCACAAGTCTGCTTATCTAAACTCCAAGAAACTCGAAACACTTTTGTAATTCAAAGATAATTAACAAATGATAAACTTTTAATACATCTATAAGTAAGAGGGGTAATTTGATAGACATTATAAAGATTTATCTGTAAATTGGTGGAACATAAAAAAACCTAGTTCAGCTAAAAGTTATGTTACAATTTTTTTTAACGCAGCTATGTTATAAATCAAATTTATTGCAACATATATAAATCTCAGGATAAAATAATAATAAAAACTATTATATTACAAATTGTCCCTTTTGCCTTTTAAATAGGCTCTTAATTTGTTTGACTTTGATACTCTAGAATTAGTCACTGTTTACAAGGGATTTTCGCCACTGCTTGTTAAAAAGATTTTTAAGATGCTTAATGTAACGTCGTTGTTTGAAGTAGACAGTTCTTTTAATCTAACAATAGTCTGAAGTGTAGAGGTTTGAATTCTGAACTGGATGAGGGCAAATAATCATTAGCTATCATAAAATTCAGAACGTTGATTGCAAGTCAGGCTAAGGAAATTCGTATCTTATGACAAGGTGCAGTTAAGTCAAAAAACCATCAATCAAGTATTTCTGTCATGTAAATTTAATTTTCTGATTACTACATAAGCGTTATTATTTTATTTTTAAAAACTACATATTCTCGACGTTACTGTTACTTTTCACCAACCGTGATAACGGTAAACATCTTTTCGACCATTAAAAATAATAAAATACTCGTAGTAATCGGAAAAATAATAGTTTCATTCAAATATTATTATTAAAATTCACAATGTGATCACTTTATGACACCATAATCGTAATATATTGATAGTAAATACTAGTTACCTAAGTAACTTTCTAATTTACTAGAAGTTACCTAAGTAGATTCTTAGGTAAGTATCTTTCATTACCTTAATATCATTGAACATAACGCTTGTTTCAACGATCCTTTCATCCACAACATCTCTGTCTTGTATCAGTTGGTGTCTCATGGCTGAGATGACTGTGTTGTTACAGTTTGGTTGTTTTGTACAACCATCATGTACGTTGGATCTTAGGTGGGCCGATGAATTGCATCGCATACATACATACTTGATAAGAATCGTTTTATTGGAATATAAACTATATCATCATAGACATAAGAACATTAATTGAATGAGCAACTTTCTTTTCAAAATAATGCCCTTTGAATTATAAGTGACAAATTGGGTATTTTTTGCTTCACTTACAATTCCGTAGCTTTTAGATTATGAAAATATTAAAATTAATTGCTGGAAATAATTAAAATAAAGCATTCGAAAAGTTATTTATAATTAAATTGTTTGTACTTTGCTAATACATACATTCATTCTTAATTAATATATGTAGTTGTCTTTACCTATATTTTATTATCTTCTAGCAAGGCGCCCCGGCTTCGCACGCGTTTAATGCTTATATTTAATACACTAAACAAAAACTGTGAACATTGTATATAAACATAGCGACCCGCTCCGGTTTCGCACGGGCAAAAAATCTACATTATATACTGTAAAGAGCCATATAGATCTATATTGAATTAACAGTGTATTTAACTACTTTTTGAATAAAGATTGACGCTGTAAATTAATAAATAAATAAATAAAATAAAATAAACCTTCCTATTCAATTACCCTATCTAGTTAAAAAAATCGCATTAAAATATTTCGTGTAGTTTTACATATTTAAGCATACATAGGGATTTTGGAACATGAAAGCGACTTTGTTTTATACTATGTAGTGATATTAAATTATATATATGTACCTTCCTCTTTAAATACACAATCTTTTAAAAAGCCACATCAAACTCCTTTGCGTAGTTTAAAAGATTTAACCATACAAGGGAATATAGAAACAGAGAAAGCGATTTTGTTCCATACTGTATGTATGTGGAGATATTAAATGATTTCTCTTCGGTTTCTATCAAATTTTATCCAATCTCATAATCGCAGTTCTTATTCAGCAGTATGAATCTTGAATTTAGTTAATATTTATTTATAATAGACAGACACACTTACTGAGTAATGTAAGGCCTCGGCCTCGAATTTTGCGGGCAGCGGAGCGGCGGCGGCGGCGGCACGGAAACGCATACTGTTCTCCAAACTAGCGGGCAGCGGGCACCGCTGTATTCGAGGGTCGGTCCATTTGATTATACGCGTAAGATCCTGCCGCTCCCGCTGCCGCTCCCGCTGCCGCTCCCGCTGCCGCTCCCGCTGCCGCTCCCGCTGCCGCTCCCGCTGCCGCTCCCGCTGCCGCTCCCGCTGCCGCTACCGCTGCCGCTCCCGCTGCCGCTCCCGCTGCCGCTCCCGCTGCCGCTCCCGCTGCCGCTCCCGCTGCCGCTCCCGCTGCCGCTCCCGCTGCCGCTCCCGCTGCCGCTCCCGCTGCCGCTCCCGCTGCCGCTCCCGCTACCGCCCCCGCTTCCGCTCCCGCTGCCGCCCCCGCTGCCGCTCCCGCTGCCGCTCCCGATGCCGCCCCCGCTTCCGTTCCCGCTGCCGCTCCCGCTCCCGCTGCAGCTCCCGCTGCCGCTACCGCTGCCGCTCCCGCTGCCGCTCCCGCTGCCGCTCCGCTGCCCGCAAAATTCGAGGCCTTAGGCCTCGGCCTCGAATTTTGCGGGCAGCGGAGCGGCAGCAGCGGCGGCACGAAAACACATACATTTCTCCAAAATAGCGGGCAGCGGGCACCGCTGTATTCGAGGGTCGGTCCATTTAATTATATGCGTAAGATCCTGCCGCTCCCGCTCCCGCTCCGCTGCCCGCAAAATTCGAGGCCGAGGCCTAATTAACATATCTGCTATCTACTTCCTCGAGTTAAAATGAAGCCATGTGTGGAAACAATATCACTATTAAATTACAACTGTGTTATGTCATTTATTGAAATTTTAAAAGTCATACATATTTCATTGGATATTTCAATCCATCTAAGTGAAATATATAAAATAGAAATAGTAAGTAAAAAGACTATACAAATAATTTTGTTATATTATTTATACGTATAAAAGGAAGTATTTCATTTTGTTATCAATATTAACTTAAAAGATCACTTTTTAGTTATACACAGATTGATGAAGATCCTTCTCTCTTTTAACAGTTTAGAAGACTCCAAATATCTCTGAATGTTTTAAGTGATACTCATAAAATGCCAATAACAATTTATAAACCGTCCCTTGATACCACATGTCCCCTATGAGTGTCTCTTACCACAACCTCTGTCAGATTAAAGACTAACCTTTCAGAACCGTAGTATCGTATTTCTAAAAGGTTAAATAGGCAGTTGATCAAAATCTTGTGAAAAATAGTCTTAGTTAGTCAATATTAAGATTACATTTACGATAGTAAATAAAATTCAATAGTGTAGTACTTTAATGTAGGCCGGTTTTTAAAATCTTTTGTAAATCTAAGGTATAATCATTATATTAAGGTCCGATCAAGGTTTAACTGATTGAAAGTTCAGTACGTTAAGTGCTCTTTTTATACTTTTCAGCATCGTTGTCTGAAATAACGTTTTAAAACTGTATTATTTTTTTAGTGGATATTATTACAATAGTCATTTCTAAGATGTTTTCTTATAAACATTTGTATCACGATACACTGGATATCTGAGGTCTGATTGACTCTATCGTGCGTGTCACTACGCTTGACCTACTCGGCTTGTGGACGAATTTTATTTCTTTATTTCATACGTAATAGCTTGCGGCATGTTTGTTTTTATTCACTAAAGGAAGCAAGATTAGAAGACTGTAGCATTTTTATCTTATTTATAATGCAGCTGTGATTTCTAAGTAGGAACTTATAATGTTACCATGAGAATATATTTTCGTGTACTTCACAAATTAACACGAATTAATTATAATCTATACATAATATATTTCATTAAGCTTTTAATTAAGTTTCCCCAAATGTTACGTACTATAATTGATTAGCCAACAGCTCCTAAATATAGGAAGCGCAATGACAATAACATTCTCTGATGTTCACCAGCTCTTAATGTTTTACTTGTACATATTAAAGAAGAACTTACAAAAAAACTGAGATTACATTAAATACTTATCATATTCATTTCTAAGCTTGTTTTTTAGATATTTTTTTAATATAAATATTATTATAATTACGAAAATAAATGATTTCTCTTCGGTTTCTATCAAATTTTATCCAATCTCATAATCGCAGTTCTTATTCAGCAGTATGAATCTTGAATTTAGTTAATATTTATTTATAATAGACAGACACACTTACTGAGTAATGTAAGGCCTCGGCCCTCGATTTTGCGGGCAGCGGAGCGGCGGCGGCGGCGGCACGGAAACGCATACTGTTCTCCAAACTAGCGGGCAGCGGGCACCGCTGTATTCGAGGGTCGGTCCATTTGATTATACGCGTAAGATCCTGCCGCTCCCGCTGCCGCTCCCGCTGCCGCTCCCGCTGCCGCTCCCGCTGCCGCTCCCGCTGCCGCTCCCGCTGCCGCTCCCGCTGCCGCTCCCGCTGCCGCTCCCGCTGCCGCTCCCGCTGCCGCTCCCGCTGCCGCTCCCGCTGCCGCTCCCGCTGCCGCTCCCGCTGCCGCTCCCGCTGCCGCTCCCGCTGCCGCTCCCGCTGCCGCTCCCGCTGCCGCTCCCGCTGCCGCTCCCGCTGCCGCTCCCGCTGCCGCTCCCGCTGCCGCTCCCGCTACCGCCCCCGCTTCCGCTCCCGCTGCCGCCCCCGCTGCCGCTCCCGCTGCCGCTCCCGATGCCGCCCCCGCTTCCGTTCCCGCTGCCGCTCCCGCTCCCGCTGCAGCTCCCGCTGCCGCTACCGCTGCCGCCCGCCCGCTGCCGCTCCCGCTGCCGCTCCGCTGCCCGCAAAATTCGAGGCCTTAGGCCTCGGCCTCGAATTTTGCGGGCAGCGGAGCGGCAGCAGCGGCGGCACGAAAACACATACATTTCTCCAAAATAGCGGGCAGCGGGCACCGCTGTATTCGAGGGTCGGTCCATTTAATTATATGCGTAAGATCCTGCCGCTCCCGCTCCCGCTCCGCTGCCCGCAAAATTCGAGGCCGAGGCCTAATTAACATATCTGCTATCTACTTCCTCGAGTTAAAATGAAGCCATGTGTGGAAACAATATCACTATTAAATTACAACTGTGTTATGTCATTTATTGAAATTTTAAAAGTCATACATATTTCATTGGATATTTCAATCCATCTAAGTGAAATATATAAAATAGAAATAGTAAGTAAAAAGACTATACAAATAATTTTGTTATATTATTTATACGTATAAAAGGAAGTATTTCATTTTGTTATCAATATTAACTTAAAAGATCACTTTTTAGTTATACACAGATTGATGAAGATCCTTCTCTCTTTTAACAGTTTAGAAGACTCCAAATATCTCTGAATGTTTTAAGTGATACTCATAAAATGCCAATAACAATTTATAAACCGTCCCTTGATACCACATGTCCCCTATGAGTGTCTCTTACCACAACCTCTGTCAGATTAAAGACTAACCTTTCAGAACCGTAGTATCGTATTTCTAAAAGGTTAAATAGGCAGTTGATCAAAATCTTGTGAAAAATAGTCTTAGTTAGTCAATATTAAGATTACATTTACGATAGTAAATAAAATTCAATAGTGTAGTACTTTAATGTAGGCCGGTTTTTAAAATCTTTTGTAAATCTAAGGTATAATCATTATATTAAGGTCCGATCAAGGTTTAACTGATTGAAAGTTCAGTACGTTAAGTGCTCTTTTTATACTTTTCAGCATCGTTGTCTGAAATAACGTTTTTAAAACTGTATTATTTTTTTAGTGGATATTATTACAATAGTCATTTCTAAGATGTTTTCTTATAAACATTTGTATCACGATACACTGGATATCTGAGGTCTGATTGACTCTATCGTGCGTGTCACTACGCTTGACCTACTCGGCTTGTGGACGAATTCGAGGGTCGGTCCATTTGATTATACGCGTAAGATCCTGCCGCTCCCGCTGCCGCTCCCGCTGCGCGCTCCGCTGCCGCTCCTGCTGCCGCTCCCGCTGCCGCTCCCGCTGCCGCTCCCGCTGCCGCTCCCGCTGCCGCTCCCGCTGCCGCTCCCGCTGCCGCTCCCGCTGCCGCTCCCGCTGCCGCTCCCGCTGCCGCTCCCGCTGCCGCTCCCGCTGCCGCTCCCGCTGCCGCTCCCGCTGCCGCTCCCGCTGCCGCTCCCGCTGCCGCTCCCGCTGCCGCTCCCGCTGCCGCTCCCGCTGCCGCTCCCGCTGCCGCTCCCGCTTCCGCTCCCGCTGCCGCCCCCGCTGCCGCTCCCGCTGCCGCTCCCGATGCCGCCCCCGCAGCCGCTCCCGCTGCCGCTCCCGCTTCCGTTCCCGCTGCCGCTCCCGCTGCCGCTCCCGCTGCCGCTCCGCTGCCCGCAAAATTCGAGGCCGAGGCCTAAGGCCTCGAATTTTGCGGGCAGCGGAGCGGCAGCAGCGGCGGCACGAAAACACATACATTTCTCCAAAATAGCGGGCAGCGGGCACCGCTGTATTCGAGGGTCGGTCCATTTAATTATATGCGTAAGATCCTGCCGCTCCCGCTCCCGCTCCGCTGCCCGCAAAATTCGAGGCCGAGGCCTAATTAACATATCTGCTATCTACTTCCTCGAGTTAAAATGAAGCCATGTGTGGAAACAATATCACTATTAAATTACAACTGTGTTATGTCATTTATTGAAATTTTAAAAGTCATACATATTTCATTGGATATTTCAATCCATCTAAGTGAAATATATAAAATAGAAATAGTAAGTAAAAAGACTATACAAATAATTTTGTTATATTATTTATACGTATAAAAGGAAGTATTTCATTTTGTTATCAATATTAACTTAAAAGATCACTTTTTAGTTATACACAGATTGATGAAGATCCTTCTCTCTTTTAACAGTTTAGAAGACTCCAAATATCTCTGAATGTTTTAAGTGATACTCATAAAATGCCAATAACAATTTATAAACCGTCCCTTGATACCACATGTCCCCTATGAGTGTCTCTTACCACAACCTCTGTCAGATTAAAGACTAACCTTTCAGAACCGTAGTATCGTATTTCTAAAAGGTTAAATAGGCAGTTGATCAAAATCTTGTGAAAAATAGTCTTAGTTAGTCAATATTAAGATTACATTTACGATAGTAAATAAAATTCAATAGTGTAGTACTTTAATGTAGGCCGGTTTTTAAAATCTTTTGTAAATCTAAGGTATAATCATTATATTAAGGTCCGATCAAGGTTTAACTGATTGAAAGTTCAGTACGTTAAGTGCTCTTTTTATACTTTTCAGCATCGTTGTCTGAAATAACGTTTTAAAACTGTATTATTTTTTTAGTGGATATTATTACAATAGTCATTTCTAAGATGTTTTCTTATAAACATTTGTATCACGATACACTGGATATCTGAGGTCTGATTGACTCTATCGTGCGTGTCACTACGCTTGACCTACTCGGCTTGTGGACGAATTTTATTTCTTTATTTCATACGTAATAGCTTGCGGCATGTTTGTTTTTATTCACTAAAGGAAGCAAGATTAGAAGACTGTAGCATTTTTATCTTATTTATAATGCAGCTGTGATTTCTAAGTAGGAACTTATAATGTTACCATGAGAATATATTTTCGTGTACTTCACAAATTAACACGAATTAATTATAATCTATACATAATATATTTCATTAAGCTTTTAATTAAGTTTCCCCAAATGTTACGTACTATAATTGATTAGCCAACAGCTCCTAAATATAGGAAGCGCAATGACAATAACATTCTCTGATGTTCACCAGCTCTTAATGTTTTACTTGTACATATTAAAGAAGAACTTACAAAAAAACTGAGATTACATTAAATACTTATCATATTCATTTCTAAGCTTGTTTTTTAGATATTTTTTTAATATAAATATTATTATAATTACGAAAATAAATGATTTCTCTTCGGTTTCTATCAAATTTTATCCAATCTCATAATCGCAGTTCTTATTCAGCAGTATGAATCTTGAATTTAGTTAATATTTATTTATAATAGACAGACACACTTACTGAGTAATGTAAGGCCTCGGCCTCGAATTTTGCGGGCAGCGGAGCGGCGGCGGCGGCGGCACGGAAACGCATACTGTTCTCCAAACTAGCGGGCAGCGGGCACCGCTGTATTCGAGGGTCGGTCCATTTGATTATACGCGTAAGATCCTGCCTCTACCGCTGCTCCCGCTGCCGCTCCCGCTGCCGCTCCCGCTGCCGCTCCCGCTGCCGCTCCCGCTGCCGCTCCCGCTGCCGCTCCCGCTGCCGCTCCCGCTGCCGCTCCCGCTGCCGCTCCCGCTGCCGCTCCCGCTGCCGCTCCCGCTGCCGCTCCCGCTGCCGCCCCCGCTTCCGCTCCCGCTGCCGCCCCCGCTGCCGCTCCCGCTGCCGCTCCCGCTGCCGCTCCCGCTGCCGCCCCCGCTGCCGCTCCCGCTGCCGCTCCCGATGCCGCCCCCGCTTCCGTTCCCGCTGCCGCTCCCGCTGCCGCTCCCGCTGCAGCTCCCGCTGCCGCTACCGCTGCCGCTCCCGCTGCCGCTCCCGCTGCCGCTCCCGCTGCCGCTCCCGCTGCCGCTCCGCTGCCCGCAAAATTCGAGGCCTTAGGCCTCGGCCTCGAATTTTGCGGGCAGCGGAGCGGCAGCAGCGGCGGCACGAAAACACATACATTTCTCCAAAATAGCGGGCAGCGGGCACCGCTGTATTCGAGGGTCGGTCCATTTAATTATATGCGTAAGATCCTGCCGCTCCCGCTCCCGCTCCGCTGCCCGCAAAATTCGAGGCCGAGGCCTAATTAACATATCTGCTATCTACTTCCTCGAGTTAAAATGAAGCCATGTGTGGAAACAATATCACTATTAAATTACAACTGTGTTATGTCATTTATTGAAATTTTAAAAGTCATACATATTTCATTGGATATTTCAATCCATCTAAGTGAAATATATAAAATAGAAATAGTAAGTAAAAAGACTATACAAATAATTTTGTTATATTATTTATACGTATAAAAGGAAGTATTTCATTTTGTTATCAATATTAACTTAAAAGATCACTTTTTAGTTATACACAGATTGATGAAGATCCTTCTCTCTTTTAACAGTTTAGAAGACTCCAAATATCTCTGAATGTTTTAAGTGATACTCATAAAATGCCAATAACAATTTATAAACCGTCCCTTGATACCACATGTCCCCTATGAGTGTCTCTTACCACAACCTCTGTCAGATTAAAGACTAACCTTTCAGAACCGTAGTATCGTATTTCTAAAAGGTTAAATAGGCAGTTGATCAAAATCTTGTGAAAAATAGTCTTAGTTAGTCAATATTAAGATTACATTTACGATAGTAAATAAAATTCAATAGTGTAGTACTTTAATGTAGGCCGGTTTTTAAAATCTTTTGTAAATCTAAGGTATAATCATTATATTAAGGTCCGATCAAGGTTTAACTGATTGAAAGTTCAGTACGTTAAGTGCTCTTTTTATACTTTTCAGCATCGTTGTCTGAAATAACGTTTTAAAACTGTATTATTTTTTTAGTGGATATTATTACAATAGTCATTTCTAAGATGTTTTCTTATAAACATTTGTATCACGATACACTGGATATCTGAGGTCTGATTGACTCTATCGTGCGTGTCACTACGCTTGACCTACTCGGCTTGTGGACGAATTTTATTTCTTTATTTCATACGTAATAGCTTGCGGCATGTTTGTTTTTATTCACTAAAGGAAGCAAGATTAGAAGACTGTAGCATTTTTATCTTATTTATAATGCAGCTGTGATTTCTAAGTAGGAACTTATAATGTTACCATGAGAATATATTTTCGTGTACTTCACAAATTAACACGAATTAATTATAATCTATACATAATATATTTCATTAAGCTTTTAATTAAGTTTCCCCAAATGTTACGTACTATAATTGATTAGCCAACAGCTCCTAAATATAGGAAGCGCAATGACAATAACATTCTCTGATGTTCACCAGCTCTTAATGTTTTACTTGTACATATTAAAGAAGAACTTACAAAAAAAACTGAGATTACATTAAATACTTATCATATTCATTTCTAAGCTTGTTTTTTAGATATTTTTTTAATATAAATATTATTATAATTACGAAAATAAATGATTTCTCTTCGGTTTCTATCAAATTTTATCCAATCTCATAATCGCAGTTCTTATTCAGCAGTATGAATCTTGAATTTAGTTAATATTTATTTATAATAGACAGACACACTTACTGAGTAATGTAAGGCCTCGGCCTCGAATTTTGCGGGCAGCGGAGCGGCGGCGGCGGCGGCACGGAAACGCATACTGTTCTCCAAACTAGCGGGCAGCGGGCACCGCTGTATTCGAGGGTCGGTCCATTTGATTATACGCGTAAGATCCTGCCGCTCCCGCTCCCGCTCCGCTGCCCGCAAAATTCGAGGCCGAGGCCTAATTAACATATCTGCTATCTACTTCCTCGAGTTAAAATGAAGCCATGTGTGGAAACAATATCACTATTAAATTACAACTGTGTTATGTCATTTATTGAAATTTTAAAAGTCATACATATTTCATTGGATATTTCAATCCATCTAAGTGAAATATATAAAATAGAAATAGTAAGTAAAAAGACTATACAAATAATTTTGTTATATTATTTATACGTATAAAAGGAAGTATTTCATTTTGTTATCAATATTAACTTAAAAGATCACTTTTTAGTTATACACAGATTGATGAAGATCCTTCTCTCTTTTAACAGTTTAGAAGACTCCAAATATCTCTGAATGTTTTAAGTGATACTCATAAAATGCCAATAACAATTTATAAACCGTCCCTTGATACCACATGTCCCCTATGAGTGTCTCTTACCACAACCTCTGTCAGATTAAAGACTAACCTTTCAGAACCGTAGTATCGTATTTCTAAAAGGTTAAATAGGCAGTTGATCAAAATCTTGTGAAAAATAGTCTTAGTTAGTCAATATTAAGATTACATTTACGATAGTAAATAAAATTCAATAGTGTAGTACTTTAATGTAGGCCGGTTTTTAAAATCTTTTGTAAATCTAAGGTATAATCATTATATTAAGGTCCGATCAAGGTTTAACTGATTGAAAGTTCAGTACGTTAAGTGCTCTTTTTATACTTTTCAGCATCGTTGTCTGAAATAACGTTTTAAAACTGTATTATTTTTTTAGTGGATATTATTACAATAGTCATTTCTAAGATGTTTTCTTATAAACATTTGTATCACGATACACTGGATATCTGAGGTCTGATTGACTCTATCGTGCGTGTCACTACGCTTGACCTACTCGGCTTGTGGACGAATTTTATTTCTTTATTTCATACGTAATAGCTTGCGGCATGTTTGTTTTTATTCACTAAAGGAAGCAAGATTAGAAGACTGTAGCATTTTTATCTTATTTATAATGCAGCTGTGATTTCTAAGTAGGAACTTATAATGTTACCATGAGAATATATATTTCGTGTACTTCACAAATTAACACGAATTAATTATAATCTATACATAATATATTTCATTAAGCTTTTAATTAAGTTTCCCCAAATGTTACGTACTATAATTGATTAGCCAACAGCTCCTAAATATAGGAAGCGCAATGACAATAACATTCTCTGATGTTCACCAGCTCTTAATGTTTTACTTGTACATATTAAAGAAGAACTTACAAAAAAACTGAGATTACATTAAATACTTATCATATTCATTTCTAAGCTTGTTTTTTAGATATTTTTTTAATATAAATATTATAATTTAATAAAAAGAACTCAAAAATACTCATACAAGACCATCTATATCACACATGTTACAGATGCAATATAACGTCGTTATTATACTCTGACAGTATATATTGAACTTTCAATTGAAAATTAAAAGTGATAAATAAATTATACTTTGAAAAGTTTTCATATGTTTACTTTAACATGAATACAAACAGAGTGTAGCGGAGCAACTTAGATTATGTGTTGTATTGTAAATTTAAATTTATATCCATTTCTATACATACATATTTGTTAATGATTAAAATTAATTTAATATTTTTAATTCTTGCGACGGACAAACTTCTTATTAAATTGTACGTATGTATATATCGAGGATGCGCGCTGTGTCTATAGTTCGCGTCGTCCGGAGCGCGCACCTTTAGCCCCGCTGGCCCCCGCTGGCCCCCGCTAGCGGCCGCTGCCCAGCCGAGCGGGCACAGCAGTGTTGGCAACCGTACGATTTAAATTGTATTTACACAAACTTTTTGACTCTTGTAAGATGTACGATCGAGTTATCGAAATCTTTTGCGTAAGATTATATACGATTTTTTATATGAAGTCTTACGAAAAAATAAATCTCCAATAAAACTATAAGGAATGTGTAAAACTAAACTTTAGTACTATAACTATAACTAACCATATTTAGTACTATACTGTAACTATGAGGAATATGTTAAACTAAACTGTATTCCAGAAACGGTACATAAGAATTTGTTAGCTGCACAACATATTAAAGAAAAAGGATGTTGTATAAACTTGAAGCCATCTGACGATATGCTGAGCAAATTAAATTTAAGTATGTACAAAAAATATAATGCTTTCCCCGCATCTGCTGTGCCTAATAATTCAGATAGTGACTAAAGCAATTCATTTTTTTTATGTTTTCAAAATATATGTAATTAATGAATATCTTAATTCCACATATTAATTGATGACTAATGTTAATTGAAAATTAGAATTAAATCACGTTTTTATTTGATATACTTAGGCAGTTTTATTGAAATTTCATCGCGTACGATTATTTCTTTGAATTTCAAGACAAAATACTATTTTTTTAGTGTTTAGTACAATCCTCTAAAAAATAAAGTTGGCAACACTGGGGCACTGAGCCGTACTCGTCACTGTCAGTCCTCACTCCTCAGTTCCTATAGACTTTAAGTGTGTAATGCTTGTCCGTCATCACTACGGCGACACTCGCACGCGCACGCTCCCTTACGAAAAATAATCTCCTTCTGTATTAATAGCTTATAAGTAGTTTAAATTGTAAGTGTACGTGAATAATTGTTGAATATTAATTTAATCCATAATGTGAAAAAAGATTTAAACATTATTAAACTAAATTTGTATTATAATAACTATAATGGAACTTGAATAATTTTTATATCCTATACAATATATTTCTAGTTCAACTCTTTATTAATAGAATAGTTTTTAAATAATTAACGCAGAATAGAAATGCTGTGTGTTATATTATATTTATAGTAAAATAAAAGCTTCAAAAATATTATAACTGATTATTATTATTTCAATTTAAATAAATATTTTTTAACTTTTCTCAAAAACTATCCGAGATATCTTAAACCGTATACCTATGACCCGGTGGACTTCGTACCGCCCTATAATCAAGAAATATCTGTTAATTTTTACCTCAATGAAGTTAATTTCTTAATTATGTACAGATAACTCGAAAGACAATGATCTGTCTTCTTCTTATATATTATATGTTTATATTAATACTACATATTATAATAGTAAGTATATCTGTTGGCGCAAGCGCCTGTTAAAATTGTGAAGCAATTTAGTATATGGAGGTTACGGAACGATTTAAATGTAAGGCGCTTTGTTTATTGTAATTTTAATTTTTTACTTACCCCGTCATAAAAATATGTAACACAATAAAATTATCATTGCAACTAATCCACGCCTTTTAATATCTCCTCGTTAAATACAATCAAAATCCGCAACAATATCTAACAAAAATTAAGTTCCTATTCCCTCTTGTGATAATAGTCAGTATAAATAGTGTTTAACTACGGGTTTTGCACAAAAAAAGAAATCGAGCCTTATTATATTATTATAAAATACATTAAAAAATATTTTTGTTTGTTTATAACGTTAAAAGTTTCAAATTATACGAAGTGCGGTTCACGTCGTAACAGAAGTTGAAGAAAAATTAAGAAACTCACTAAGACAGAATAAAAAATGCAGAACTAAACTTAGATCCTATATCTAAGAGTACATAATTTTCCCGAAGTTTCTTAAAAATATCACGTTTTTTGTTTTATTTTATTAATTTTTGATACACACGAACACGCGTTTGTTTCGTAGAGTAAGCACCGCTCTAAATGCTAACCCGGAACTCTTAAAATTTTAATGTGTTTCGCATACTTGATAAATTATGAAATATAAATGAATTCTTTTTTATTTTTTTTTCCGAATTTGCAGTGTTGTTGTTAATGCACCATGAGATATATTTTGTTGGAAATATGTAATAAATTAAATAATGATTTTATGAAAAACATTCTTTTTTTTGTTTAAGAAAAGGTATGTTAGGCCCTACGTGTATGTATATATAGGTATATCTTATTTTACAATGATTGTATTTCATAAAATGTATTTGGCATTTTCCCATTATAACCACACCTTAATATCTTGTACATCAATTTGATAATAACTATTTGAAAAGGGTTTAATAGCAAGTGACACGTAGATGTGGAATCATCCCATGGCAACCCTTTGAATTTACGGACTATCGCCTTTACAAGGTAAATTTATAAGACAATATATAAGTCGACTTAGTGAAGCATAATAACTAATGTCTTTGATCGAGTGTTAAATGAAATAGATATAATATATACGGCACGTACCTATACTTCACTTTGATGTGATCAATCAATGACTTCTGTTTTCTGGAAATGTTTTATTAGTTATTATTTAATATTATATTTTAGTATATTTAAATTTAACATAAAATTTACTAGAATGTTTAAAAGGGTTCATTGCATCTCGATAGCTTTTAAAATTCAAATCAATAAAAGTAGAACATTTCTATGAAATAAATGTTCTTTCTCAGATACGTGTCTTCTTGGTGTCACACAAAGGAGATCGAAATTATTGCATACAATTCTGGGCCCACAATGTAAAAACATGAAACCACTATTAATTAAAAGGTTCAAAATTAAGAGTTTCTTAATTTTCAATTCTATAGATATTGACAATTAGATAGCTGAGTTATTGGAGGTTCAGTAAAAGTGAGGTTATATTGCATTATCTTAAGTGTTAGATAAATTCACTTAAAAGTATGTGAAAAATAATAATTTTATTTAGAAAAGATATAACAAGGCAAAAAAGACTCAAAGACATACAAATATCGTTAACAAGTATGGAATTTTACGAGGAACAGGAGTAGTGAACTAGTGATAAAAGTCATAAAATAAAACACATAATTTTAATGGAATATGTATTTTATTCCTCTTCAATAATAATTACAATATCGTCTAGGAACTATGCAGGGGGTACAATGTTACTAGTTGCTGTCCCACAATTCCCACAACGATGCGTCGTTTCAGTAATATCCAATCCATAAGCCGGCGAAATAATCCAAATTAACAATTCCAAGTCAAACGTGCAGGCGATCGTCGGTGTCCGATGTGAAAGCAAGGGTCGTAAAACGTTAGGCGGGTTCGGAGTCCGTAAAAAACAAAGCAGTGGTCGTTGAAATTTATAGCAAAATAATGATTTATTATTCCTTGCTAAAATAAGATATAATTATAATACTTATTTCTTAGTAAGTATACATTCGTATTAAGAAAAGAAGATAATAATATTAATTATTACTTAAAATAATGAATTCGGAAGATTTTTTTTTGCAAGGATACACTTTTGTAGTCATATAATGGTTGTGTCCCTTTTATTATTGTCAATAGGAAATATTTTATTGCATTACATTCGTTATTTTCTATAATATAATAAATTGTCTAGTGGTTCGACATGGAAATCGAGCAAGGCATAAGGTTACCAACAATCTGGCGGCAGGCTGCGAACAGACGGCAAGGAAGTGGACGACCGGTCTAACAGTGGCACAAAACAGAGATTTGAGGTAAAGAAAAAGTCATTGTTATTAAGTGACACTTTACAGAAGACACTGAAATTTAAATTTGCAATGGATAAAAATAATAAAAATAAAAAAATAAGTACTTGGAGGAGGTTAGAGTCTAAACTATTAAATGTTTAAGAGACTGGTTCATACTAATTTCTTTTCAGTTTAATAATTAGCGATTGTTAATTGGATATAAGTTAAAATACCATTTTTATTAACTTAAAGGATCGATGATATTCAGGACAACTCTTTAGTTCGTCGAGGAAAACCAACAGCACATTTGGTCTACGGTGTTCCCTTGACCATAAACTCCGCTGGTCAAGTAATGGCGGAGTCAATGAAAATAGACCTCGTGTTAGTACCAGATGCTTCGGTCTGATTATAACTATTTATTAATGTAATTAGTAATTAACAGAAGTAACTTAAAATATAAATTGGTGAACGAAACCCTTTTATAGAGTGTAGTTGAAAACTGTAGAAATTTTTTATGATACAATAATGTAGACTACGTTAATAATTATGTGAATCAATTATACGAAATGTTGCAGGGACAAGGTACTGAGATTTATTGGGAGCAAAAATTTATTCGTCCCACTGAGGATCAATACAAGAAGATGTCACATATGAGTATCTATAACTTATATATTTTTCTAACCACGTTTCTAACGTTTTTACAAATCTGTCCTATATTAATATCGTTACTATCAGATGAACGAACATCTCACTGATAATACATATTATACATTAAACAGACTTTATATTTCCAACAAATTTTAAATTTATCATAACAGTTTTAGAGAAATTTAATTGAAATGTGAATGTTTTTCCAATTAACGATGATCATTATATTTTCTTCGAAAAAAAATTATATTATATTTATTATGTGTTTTACTATTCCAGTTACACAGCAATGGCAGTTTCTGTAAAGATTTATCAGAAGGAAAGTTCTCCTTGCCCGTCATACATGCATCCAAAACATCAGTGTGAAGCGAAGTTTTACGTGAGTACACTAAACCTCAATTGCTAATTGTATACATACAGAGAACGTATTTGTGTGGATCAAACATAGCAGATTTTCTTGTAACCCTTCGATAAATACGGAATCATTATTCTTCATAATTGCATCATGTTATTTCATAAACTTGATGAGTTACATATCAATTTAAAATTTAGAATTTTGAGAACTTGTTTTTTTTTTTTTACCCGTTTCATGAGATCAGGTCCGCTTACGAAGTTTCTTCCTTGATCCTCTGTTTCTAATACTTTATTGATGTTAATTTTTGTCATTATTTTTTGTGTTTGGTAAATAAGTATTTACATAACCAGATTTTAATTCAGTGATAGTAAAGTTTTTTGTGATCATATTTTTATTACTATCAGGTATCTTACCACAGCGCACCCGTGATGTTGACCTGAAGAAATACTGTATGTGTTTGCTGGAGAAACAGACTCAGTGAACTTGATCGAGAAGCTCGGGCTGAGGTGAATCAATTTTTTTAACATAGTATTCATTGAAGTGTGATTATTTTAAATTGAAGTATACAACCTAGGTTTCTTACAGGTCGCCCGTTTAGGTGGCTACTGGAAAAATGTTTGTATGATCTCAGTAGCTGGAAGGATGACTTGATGATCAAATAATTATTACACTATTTTGTTACACGGGACACTATTAACCAATAATATTTAAAAGGTGTGGAGTACAAAGACTCGCAAGTCTTTAAAATATATTTTTGTTATATTGTTTATCCGATATTTTAAGACATGAATATAAAAGCATTTTTTGTATTTTTTCTATTTCAACAAATTATTTTAATTTCTTCACGCTTTGTTCATTTATAAGGTTACAATTCTTCCTAAATTTAATGTATAAAGAGATCTTTACCAATTTATAAAATGTAATTTATGATAAGAATTTAATATAACACAAAAATACATTATTTTTTAAACAATTTATTCAAACATTTCACTTTTGTTAACAAAGTCCATCATTTTTAAATATGTACTATCATATTAAGAATAGAGATAATGTTACCATTTTATATCATGAGTCTCAATATCCTAAGAAATTAATAAGTGAGTGTCTTATAACTTTAGAATCATAGTGAGTGATCACTTTTAGTCAAAATATACGAATTAGCTCTACGTTTTTCTTTTAATCGTTTATTTTATTTTTACCGTGTATGTGTTTAAATTTTATTCTAAGTTAGTCCGTTCAGTGTGATATGTAATATTTGTTTTTTTATGGTAGAAATTGTTATGTATGTAATTGTACAATGAAGTTTACTTAGTGATGGTCAACCAAAATCGTATCTGACTAGGATCATAGGATAGAACAATATCACGAAAAATTTTTTTTAAATCAAATTATAAAAATTACGTTTAGAATCACATTTTGGAATTAGTTATATTAAAACGCGTGCTATTTTTTGTTTACTGGAGCAAAACTTTTATTGAAATATGAATAATAAAAAAGTTTTCAACAACATTCTGTTTTAAAAAGTAACGAACAAATATCTGTGTAAAATATAACAACATTTATGTTTTTCATGTGGATATCAGTTACAACATGTTTATGAGAAAACATTTGCATTATTTGAAGTTGTTCTGGTTTGAAACAGAAATTGCGACTGATTATAATTTTCTATATGGATCTTAGCTAAAATATAAATTATTGAAAATTTTTATAACAGTTCGAGAAAGATGTTATTCATATTTTGGTAAACATATTTTACTTTGCTAAGTATGTAATGCAGACAACTTGATACACATAATGAAACAGTAACCGATTTTTAGAATAGATATTATCTGACATGTAAAAACAATAAAATGAATCAACAAAAATAGTTTGAATAGTAGAAACGGATATTGAAAATCGCTGTCAAAAATATACCTCTAGGTACATTGCATCTTTTTTGGCATTCAAAGTACAAAAGGACAGAAACAATAACATTGTAGCGTGGGTCATCCTTGTACAATGATATTTGCTACACACATAAACGTCGGATGCATTGGTAATCATAAATTTTTTTGAAATAGGTATTTATGGTTGCTTTGCTCATTATTGCTGTGAATTGTCATATTTTTCAAGTTAATAAGTTTTCATCATATCAATTTATAAGTAAAATAATATTTTATACACTCAAGTATATAATTTAGTTATATCTATGTATTAAGCTGTAGTCCATCTCCTGCAAATTCTTATAAGTCTGGTCACGTCCCCTTCACACTGACGCTGACAAGAGAAACGTTTCAATTATTGTATAAAAGACTAGCTTTCCGCCCGCGGCTTCGCACGCGTGGATTTCGGATATATCGCGTTTTCAAGAGAACCTTTCAAAAGTCTGGGATAAAAACTATCCTATGTTCTTTCTCAAGATCAACTCTATTTTTGTACCAAATTTCATTAAAATCAGTTCAGTGGTGTAGGCGTGAAAGCGTAACAGACAGACAGACAGAGTTACTTTCGCATTTATAATCTTAGTAAAATTTTCAAGTAATGTGGCGTTGAATTGTAGTATAATGTACTCGTACCTACTGGGCCAAAATAACACCATTGAACATGAGTCAACTTTGATGCCTTTTAATAATATGTATTATGGTTTGCAAAAAATAATAATTTTAAAAATATAGAAAAGAAAGCTTATTTATAAGACTAAATTAATTTATTACTTTTACTCCATGACAACAACTTGCACGTCAAACGATTTTGAGACAGCCTTGTATGGGGCTTTCCCAGGTGCACTATGAGCAAATCGCGTATGTGCTGTCTCATAACTCCGTATCTCAGTTATTTCAAAACTAAATGATCTATAATTTTAAAGTTTCATGGTTTTATCCTCTAAAATTAAGAAATCCCATACAAACTGTCAACCCTTATTTCACCCCGTCACTGGTCGAAATTTCAAAAACGCTAGATCAAATGTTTAAATTATCCTATCAAGTGCTTAAATATAAAGTTTCATGGTTTTATCTTCTAAAATTAAGAAATCCCATACAAACTGTCAACCCTTATTTCATTCACCCCTTCACTGGTCGAAATTTCAAAAACGCTAGATCAAATGTTTAAATTATCCTATCAAGTGCTTAAATATAAAGTTTCATGGTTTTATCTTCTAAAATTAAGAAATCCCATACAAACTGTCAACCCTTATTTCACCCCTTCACTGGTCGAAATTTCAAAAACGCTAGATCAAATGTTTAAATTATCCTATCAAGTGCTTAAATATAAAGTTTCATGGTTTTATCTTCTAAAATTAAGAAATCCCATACAAACTGTCAACCCTTATTTCACCCCTTCACTGGTTGAAATTTCAAAAACGCTAGAACAAATGTTTAAATATATCCTATCAAGTGCTTAAATATAAAGTTTCATGGTATTCTCTTTTAAAATTCAGAAATACCGTACAAACTTTCAACCCCTATTTCAACCTCTTCATCCCCTTTTTCGTAATAAAAGGTAGCCTATATTTTTCTCAGGGTCTAAAAATTGTCTGCGCCAAATTTCATCAAAATCGTTTGAGAGGTTTAAGCGGGAAAGCGTAACAGACAGACAGACAGAGTTACTTTCGCATTTATAATATTAGTTGTGATTGACTCCCCCCTCGTACCCCAGTGACGCTTACATGGAGCCTACATCATGCTGGCTAGCTGAGCGTGGTGAGCGGCAACCACGCGACTTTTTTCTAATACTTGCATTTTTAAACTCGTGATATCTTCCGAATGAAATGTCCGAATTGAATAATTCAAAGAGTTATAAAAAGGTACTGAAGCCGTCTTGAATATAAAGTAATTTATTTTGATAAGGATTAATACCAAGTTACAAATAAAGAGCCTTTTCAAGCGGCGGATAATAAATTAAATTTTTAGAATAAAAAACCGCTTACTGTGATATAACTATAATATTTAGACATATGCTGTCGCGACACTTTTTGTAGATGATGATGAGTTCTGCAAAGTCGTAGTAAATGATTTGGTTCTATCATCAATAGTTTTCGCAGCGCACGCGACGTAAGGAATTTTTCAGATCATTTTTTTACACCTTGGGTTACATTATTAGAGTTTTAGTAAGGATCTCTAATTTTTATTTAAATATAATATATAGCTTATATTACTCGGGAATAATGTAGCTTTCCCTAGGTGAAAGAACTTTTGAAATCGGTTCAGTAGTTTCGGAGCCTATTCATAACAAAGAAAAACAAATCTATCCTCTTTATTAGTATAGATGATAAGAATCGTTTTATTGGAATATAAACTATATCATCATAGACATAAGAACATTAATTGAATGAGCAACTTTCTTTTCAAAATAATGCCCTTTGAATTATAAGTGACAAATTGGGTATTTTTTGCTTCACTTACAATTCCGTAGCTTTTAGATTATGAAAATATTAAAATTAATTGCTGGAAATAATTAAAATAAAGCATTCGAAAAGTTATTTATAATTAAATTGTTTGTACTTTGCTAATACATACATTCATTCTTAATTAATATATGTAGTTGTCTTTACCTATATTTTATTATCTTCTAGCAAGGCGCCCCGGCTTCGCACGCGTTTAATGCTTATATTTAATACACTAAACAAAAACTGTGAACATTGTATATAAACATAGCGACCCGCTCCGGTTTCGCACGGGCAAAGAATCTACATTATATACTGTAAAGAGCCATATAGATCTATATTGAATTAACAGTGTATTTAACTACTTTTTGAATAAAGATTGACGCTGTAAATTAATAAATAAATAAATAAAATAAAATAAACCTTCCTATTCAATTACCCTATCTAGTTAAAAAAATCGCATTAAAATATTTCGTGTAGTTTTACATATTTAAGCATACATAGGGATTTTGGAACATGAAAGCGACTTTGTTTTATACTATGTAGTGATATTAAATTATATATATGTACCTTCCTCTTTAAATACACAATCTTTTAAAAAGCCACATCAAACTCCTTTGCGTAGTTTAAAAGATTTAACCATACAAGGGAATATAGAAACAGAGAAAGCGATTTTGTTCCATACTATGTATGTATGTGGAGATATTAAATGATTTCTCTTCGGTTTCTATCAAATTTTATCCAATCTCATAATCGCAGTTCTTATTCAGCAGTATGAATCTTGAATTTAGTTAATATTTATTTATAATAGACAGACACACTTACTGAGTAATGTAAGGCCTCGGCCTCGAATTTTGCGGGCAGCGGAGCGGCGGCGGCGGCGGCACGGAAACGCATACTGTTCTCCAAACTAGCGGGCAGCGGGCACCGCTGTATTCGAGGGTCGGTCCATTTGATTATACGCGTAAGATCCTGCCGCTCCCGCTGCCGCTCCCGCTGCCGCTCCCGCTGCCGCTCCCGCTGCCGCTCCCGCTGCCGCTCCCGCTGCCGCTCCCGCTGCCGCTCCCGCTGCCGCTCCCGCTGCCGCTACCGCTGCCGCTCCCGCTGCCGCTCCCGCTGCCGCTACCGCTGCCGCTCCCGCTGCCGCTCCCGCTGCCGCTCCCGCTGCCGCTCCCGCTGCCGCTCCCGCTGCCGCTCCCGCTGCCGCTCCCGCTGCCGCTCCCGCTGCCGCTCCCGCTGCCGCTCCCGCTGCCGCTCCCGCTGCCGCTCCCGCTGCCGCTCCCGCTGCCGCTCCCGCTGCCGCTCCCGCTGCCGCTCCCGCTGCCGCTCCCGCTGCCGCTCCCGCTGCCGCTCCCGCTGCCGCTCCCGCTGCCGCTCCCGCTGCCGCTCCCGCTGCCGCTCCCGCTGCCGCTCCCGCTGCCGCTCCCGCTGCCGCTCCCGCTGCCGCTCCCGCTGCCGCTCCCGCTGCCGCTCCCGCTGCCGCTCCCGCTTCCGCTCCCGCTGCCGCCCCCGCTGCCGCTCCCGCTGCCGCTCCCGATGCCGCCCCCGCAGCCGCTCCCGCTGCCGCTCCCGCTTCCGTTCCCGCTGCCGCTCCCGCTGCCGCTCCCGCTGCAGCTCCCGCTGCCGCTCCCGCTGCCGCTCCCGCTGCCGCTCCCGCTGCCGCTCCCGCTGCCGCACCGCTGCCCGCAAAATTCGAGGCCGAGGCCTAAGGCCAGGCCTAAGGCTGCGGAGCGGCAGCAGCGGCGGCACGAAAACACATACATTTCTCCAAAATAGCGGGCAGCGGGCACCGCTGTATTCGAGGGTCGGTCCATTTAATTATATGCGTAAGATCCTGCCGCTCCCGCTCCCGCTCCGCTGCCCGCAAAATTCGAGGCCGAGGCCTAATTAACATATCTGCTATCTACTTCCTCGAGTTAAAATGAAGCCATGTGTGGAAACAATATCACTATTAAATTACAACTGTGTTATGTCATTTATTGAAATTTTAAAAGTCATACATATTTCATTGGATATTTCAATCCATCTAAGTGAAATATATAAAATAGAAATAGTAAGTAAAAAGACTATACAAATAATTTTGTTATATTATTTATACGTATAAAAGGAAGTATTTCATTTTGTTATCAATATTAACTTAAAAGATCACTTTTTAGTTATACACAGATTGATGAAGATCCTTCTCTCTTTTAACAGTTTAGAAGACTCCAAATATCTCTGAATGTTTTAAGTGATACTCATAAAATGCCAATAACAATTTATAAACCGTCCCTTGATACCACATGTCCCCTATGAGTGTCTCTTACCACAACCTCTGTCAGATTAAAGACTAACCTTTCAGAACCGTAGTATCGTATTTCTAAAAGGTTAAATAGGCAGTTGATCAAAATCTTGTGAAAAATAGTCTTAGTTAGTCAATATTAAGATTACATTTACGATAGTAAATAAAATTCAATAGTGTAGTACTTTAATGTAGGCCGGTTTTTAAAATCTTTTGTAAATCTAAGGTATAATCATTATATTAAGGTCCGATCAAGGTTTAACTGATTGAAAGTTCAGTACGTTAAGTGCTCTTTTTATACTTTTCAGCATCGTTGTCTGAAATAACGTTTTAAAACTGTATTATTTTCTTAGTGGATATTATTACAATAGTCATTTCTAAGATGTTTTCTTATAAACATTTGTATCACGATACACTGGATATCTGAGGTCTGATTGACTCTATCGTGCGTGTCACTACGCTTGACCTACTCGGCTTGTTGACGAATTTTATTTCTTTATTTCATACGTAATAGCTTGCGGCATGTTTGTTTTTATTCACTAAAGGAAGCAAGATTAGAAGACTGTAGCATTTTTATCTTATTTATAATGCAGCTGTGATTTCTAAGTAGGAACTTATAATGTTACCATGAGAATATATTTTCGTGTACTTCACAAATTAACACGAATTAATTATAATCTATACATAATATATTTCATTAAGCTTTTAATTAAGTTTCCCCAAATGTTACGTACTATAATTGATTAGCCAACAGCTCCTAAATATAGGAAGCGCAATGACAATAACATTCTCTGATGTTCACCAGCTCTTAATGTTTTACTTGTACATATTAAAGAAGAACTTACAAAAAAACTGAGATTACATTAAATACTTATCATATTCATTTCTAAGCTTGTTTTTTAGATATTTTTTTAATATAAATATTATAATTTAATAAAAAGAACTCAAAAATACTCATACAAGACCATCTATATCACACATGTTACAGATGCAATATAACGTCGTTATTATACTCTGACAGTATATATTGAACTTTCAAATTAAAAAGGGTCATTGAAAAACTTTAGAACAAAAAATAAATACGAGTTAAATTAATGCTCTCAAATGTATATTTAATTCGTATTGTGTAGTATACATTAAATGTACAGCGTCCGCCTCCAGCCTCCCCTCGGTCCCCTTCAGTCCCTCTTACCCGAACCTCTCTCACAACTCGGACGAGAACTCAGTTATGTGGTTTGATTACAGTAAAATAATTGAATATGGTGCTATGTAACATGCAATATAAATATCAACCAGCGTTATTTTTAGTGTGTCATGTATATTTTTTAATCTTTAAAATGATCTGGCCTCACAGTAGCAGTTATTAACTATGATCAAAAATATAAGAACTTAAAAAAAAGTATATATTTACTTCATAAAACATATTATCCAGATCAACTGCTAATAAATACTTGGGGAAATTGCATGTCGTAGATTTTGATGGTAAAGACGTCGTTTGTTTCACTCTAAACACCGAATTGCCAAAAATAAAAGTTTTTCTTTTCTCTGCTTCAATAAATTACTACCACGCGCTGCTATGTAAATGAAAAAGTGATACTTTTAACTGTTTGATAAATTAACTTAATTAAATAATGTAAAAGTAGTTGATGTAAAATTTTAGTTTAATTGTAAATATCTAATTTACTCTTTTTATACCCCTTACTTATTATTGTAGAGGAAACATAATATCTGACAATTATTTTTGGTATCGTTATATATCGTGTTTTAAAAATAAAATCATGTTACCATATATTTATGTATCAGTGGCCTTTTACAATAAAACAATATTTTGGTATTTGAGGAGCGGGGAACATATCGGATAAATATTTCTTCGAGCTGGAAATTTTTTAAACATTAAGTGTATACTTAATGTTTAAAAAATTTATCTGTATAGATATTTATATGTAACTTTACCATTCCAAGGAGTTTAAATGTTATCTATTATTAATTTTTAATATTATTATTAATTTAGTCGTAATATATTCATATCGTAATATTTTAATAACAATACATATACATGTTTATTAAATGAATACTAAATTTTTCATACGATTATTTTTTTATTTTTGATCTTCCATAGCACAAAATGTATGAGAAGATTTTCTAAATTAAATTTGATTAGACTTCATTACAGACGTTTCAGTGTTAATAAGCAATGAATAATTGAACGGATCAACTTACTTTGCTTATAAAAGCAAATTTTATGTATAATTATTCCTTACATGTGTATCACAGGTAATGAAGCCGTAATTACCAAAATATCTCAAAGCTGAAATAAAGGGAAATATCAAAAGAAAATCTTTGAAAATTCCAGATACATTTATGAAGCAAAGGCGGCTGCGACTGAAAACAAGCAAATAGGAATATTACTAGTTTGACGTCACTAGACGTTGCGATTGGTAACTAGAATATTTGAAGGTTTTATCTACATTTAACATTTGAAAATTTATTATAGAATGAGAATAATACATTTAAAACATTACATAATAAATATTCTAGAACAAATATATAAATAATAAGATGTATATAACATTTTTATTTGTTTTCTTACGAATCCTTAAAAATTATAGTCTTGAGGATAAAAGTTTTTTCATATTTAAAATTATTATTAAAGCTGTTTATCTTGATTCCGACAGTTAACTAAATTTACGATTTGTTCTGACCTACATGTTTAATAGTGTCAGAAAAAGATTAAGAATATAAGACGAGCATAAAAATAAGAATTCAAAACAAATACATACTTATTTTAAATATGTTTCAGTAATATTTTCCAATCCACTATAAGAGTCCATCAATTTCACTGTTTTGGTGTTCACCTGGACTTAAATACGAAAGTTAAGTTAGGATGTTAAAACTCCCCAAATAAAGTAAAGGTGTTTAAGAATATTTTTAAATCTACTAACTTTAATACAATATTCAGTACTCAAGTTCAATATTAGCATCGCCTCAGAGACCGCTCGTTAAAAATAATATTGTTGATGTTGTGGCGGTTGTACTATCACTGGATAATGTATTATCACTGGAGTGATGACACCACATATACATGTAGATATGTATGTATTATGTATGGACGATACATCTCCCATCATATGGTCGACCGAGGAGATTGCTGCTGGCGGGAACAGCTACTGGCTGATCTTGGTTGAAGTTAATTACAGTTAAAAGTTTGAGACTATGTTATGTTTCATTACTCTGTAATTTATAAGTTGTTTTTAGAATTTAAAAATTTCAAAAATTTTCTTGTACATTTTTTTCCGTACGTTTGTTTAGTCGGTAATTATTGTGAAAAGTATAATAAATAAACACGGTATAAAAATAAAACGAAAAATAAAATAATTATTCATGAACAGTAGTTGTGACTTTTTCTATAAAATTAAACTTTAACTTTAACTCTATAAAATTAAAACTCATTTCACGAAAATAATATAATTTGTTACTAAATAAAATTAAATAAATATAATATTTTTTTCTAATAATCAAGACTCTTTTTTAAGTTTCATACTGGACTCATTCTTAAATTATAAAATCTACCGTTCACTAAACGTGACAGTCATAAAATATGTGTCGCCATTGACTTTTTCATCATCTAACAAACTCAATATACAATTACTTACCTACATAATAATTAGTACAGACATATTTTAATTTTACCTAATACCCAATATATATCGTAATATTCAGATTTTTATTGTATATTTAGTAAGATTTATATAATTTTTAAATATAATTCCTTGCTAATATTCAAATTTAAAACACTCTTAATAATATAACCGACAAAACTGAAGGTAAATCTAAGCTTTTTTAGCAATTGCTCGATGTAGAATAGTTTGTTTGTTTGTCATCTAACATCTAGGATTGAAAACTTCTTACGTTTTTAATTAATAAGAAGTTTTAATAGAGTTAGGCTAGGACATAATTGAAATCAATTTGACTTCGAATCCTCATTAAAACTCCACAGAATACAGATATGCATATGCATATGGATTGTGCCACAACGTATTTTGAATGGAAAGGAATTCTCTCAAATAATATGTGCTTCGTGCATCCCATACGATGAGCTCTCAGTTGATATTGAATAAAAATATTTTAATAACAAAGAATTATCGGACAGGTTTGTGACATTAAGTAAATTAATATAGATATAATAAGTAAACGTATGTATTATACATATATGTATATATAAAATTATCTTATAGTAATGTGTTAGTTAAACTATTATGTTAAATAGAATATAAATTAGAATTGTGTCGTGGGACATAATAGATATGCAATATTTCTCATAGTCTTTGTATTTGTGTAACTTTATCATTACATATCTTTAATGTAAATTTTCAGTAACGAATATATCGTAGTTCATAATTAATATTCATAGACTGCCATGAATATTAA